GTTGAGGGGTAAGAATGCTGCGAGTTGTTATGGGCTGTATCAGCCACCATTGGTCCCGAGCCAGTATGATTTGCGACGACGCACGGTCGCAGATGTGCCTTTACGCGAATCAGAGTTCGCACGGTCACGCCGCACCGTCGCTTTTGCTCAGAGAAAGAGAAATCGTGCACAAGAGAAGAGGAGCAGCTAAAAAGTTCTCCGGTGTGCATGTTGCTCGTACTTTCAGCAGGCGTGGGAGAAACCTTGGTCCAGGGGGTTATTCTTCGCGCTGATCACGAATATGGTACTCAATTTTGACTTTTTCAGTTTGGTGTCATAAAGCCGTGCTACGGTAGGTCTAAAAATTTGAAGTTTATGTTTAGGTTTCAAAGTTTACTCAATGACTCTCATGAAGAAAGTGATAGACATTGTTGGAGAAAACCATCGAAATCTGGCGTCCCTGGATAGCGAAAAATCGATAGCAGCTACATACTGCGGTAGAAAGCATCAAACTACTGTGCAGGCTACTGCGCCAGGACCACAAAACATATACACTCCCCAATGAAGGTTGTAGCTTGATAGAAACTACTACAGTGAGCTGCTATACTTATGGAGTTCCATCACTCGACGGTAATCGAATATTCGAATATTCGATGTTACCGAGTGATTCGAATATTCGATGTTAGTCGAATGATTCGAATATTTGATGACCATCGAATATTCGACTTTCGAAAAATATTTGAAAGTTGAGATTTTTGAATATTCGACTTTTCGAATCATTCATTCGAATAATTTATTCGAATGATCGAATAAATTATTCGAATAAATTATTCGAATAATTATTCGATTCGGCCCCAGGTATAATGGTAGGGCGAATTAATCGCATTGTTCCTGAAATGTTCGGTTGTTGGGTTGGTCTGTGAGCGGCCCTTGTTTGTCCTTTTTCATAAAACAGTTTGTATGCTGCTCTTAGGGTCATTTTTGTCAACACATCGGTTTGTAGGGATTCGTAGGGCATGCGGCTTCAGGCAGTTTTTTCGAAATATCCGTTTGTGGGCGTAGATACACTTTTTGATATTGGTTTATAGGGGATGATAGGGTAGTTAGAAAGGCAAATTCGGTCTATAAGCGGCGCGAGGACAGTTAAATCCTAATAAAGAATGATGGATATGTAATCGGTCTCGTAGGTCAGGTTTTGTTAGAATATAAGTGTGAGTGGCCAACAGAGTTTTTTTCAAGCAACGCTTTTTTGGGAGGGAAGGGGGAGGGAGGAGTAGCGCAGACACGCAGAATACCGATCTGTGAGCGGCACACTGGGTTGTCCTTTTTGAACATCGGTTTGTAGGCTGTTTTTAAAGCATTATTCGCAAAATATCCCAAAAACGTCCCCCAGGCCAGTGCCTTTTTTATAATATCAGTCCGGCCTATGGGATACTTTACCCTAGTTATGGTTCATAAGCTACCTGCAGGGCAGTACATCCTAATGGGCATAGGTCTGTATGCTACTTTTATTAGTTATGAGCTCGTAATTTGAGTGGCTATTATTTTGCATTCAAATAAATTCGCCTTGACCAACTGTAAGCGGCCCTCAGGGTCGCTATCTTCCCATTATAAATACTAGTTATATCCGCTGTGGTATCTCATCAGCATTGCTCTCAAACATCTACTTCGGCTATATGTGATAACTATTCAAGTATACCATAAACATCAAAAAGTTTGTGATTCGGAATACGACGGTTTTTATAATTTGCAAGTTTCATGAATAGGAACGACGAGCGTTGAAGAGACAAGCTTTTTTCGGCCTTCAAAAATTAGAAAAAGGGCATAAAGTACTGCATTCATATCGTGAAGTTACGGCACAGAATGCACATGCACATCGCCTATCCACAATTTTTGTACTTGCATCTATGCATCTAAATGAGTTTACAGTTATCAGCGCTTACTGTCATTTGGAATTCGAAGTCATGTAGCTGACTATTGAAGTACAACCAATCAATGTGATTGGTGCTTTTAAAGTGGTGGCAAAGGGTTTCAGCACACAGTATTTTATATGTATTCATGTATATATGTAATATTTTGTCCTGTACAGTATAGAAGCAAAAATGACTAAGACGTCGTCGAAGCAAATTTTTGGTGCAATCTATTAGCAAATACTAAGGAGCTTGCTATAAATGATCCTCAATGACACTAAACAGATGATCTGATAATTAATTTTTGCGTCACTGAAAAGCACCACTGAGCTTCTCTGGATAAAAGTATTGCCATCAAATCAGCGATTTACTTCAGAAAACATAATCGGCTAAAAATCTAGCTGAAGAAAGGAGAAACGTTTGCCATAACCAGATATTATGTTTAGATGAAGATGAGCAAAATGGAGTTCCGAATCATGAAGCATACTTAAGCGCACGTAATTTAATGGCTTCAAAGAGATGAAAGCTATGAGTACAAAAGGAAACTAACATTCGCTTTTGTAAAGCAAAAAGCCAAATTTTTTTACCGCCTCTGGTGTGATTTCAAAACAAGCATCATGCAGAATAATTATAGCGTTGCTTGCATTTACATGTTTGGACATAAACACGCAGCATGCTATTAAAGAAAAACCAATTCTGGAGAGGAACGAGTTTCAGGCGTTCATTCATCAAGCCTTAAGCGAACTAAGTGTTTGCATTGGCGATACTTTTATCTGGAAAACATAGTTTTTTGGCATCTAATTTTTCGGTAAAAAAATAATCTTGAGCACCATTTTTATAGAAATACCATTCGATTTTGAACACTGCAAAATTTGATTAATGGCAATGCTGGGGTCATTTAATGATTGTTGTGTGATTAAACAAGGACTTCTTCTACGGCAAAATCATCTGAAAGCTCCGAAAGCATCGTAGAATTGTCATTCGACACCTTTGGTCACAAGCAACGGACACATATTAGTCACGAGTTGCGAACGTTCAAGGATTAGTATGTTTTTTTCCGTCACAGTAACCGTCGGGGATTTTTCCTTATCTATTTTTTCAAAGCTGATTACATATAAGCGACCAATAGAAGTACTCGCATATGACTGTTACAGGGCTATATAAGTGTAAGAAAGGAACTTGTGTCCGTGTCGGTCATAGCTCTCGATTTCTTGCTTCAAATGTTGTAGGGCTTGCCTTCCACGAATATTCCCATCGAGGCCACGGTAAGCCCTCAGCAGAAGCCATTGCAGTCAACATAACATAACCCTATTTTGCAACCGCTTATGCAACGCTGAAAAAGGATATTATGTGGTAGGTAAAACAGAAATATGGACTTTTCCTTTTCTGGTATCTTAATATAGCCTTTATTTGAAGAGGTGCATTTATACTATAAATTAACTTAACAATGAAATTCTTTCTTTTCACAATCCTACTGCTTTGTTTCTTGGTCAGCACAGAGGCCCTCATTTGTGAACTTTACGGTCCTCTACCCAGTCAGTCGCCGGGGACAGCCGGTCCGCAAACTCGCGTTTTCTTGCAGGCGTTCAGCAGAATTTTGGAACGTGGCCAGACCTCCAGCGTGCGGTACTTCTTTTGCCGTCGTATGTTCTGCCAGCGGGCAGCAATACAGAATTTTCTGCAAGCGGTCGTCAAGCTATTCCTTTCAGCAAGCGCCGGCCAAATTTTCACGAGCGCTCTGACTCTTGTTGAGCAGTTTCGGCCCCGAGAAAGGTAACAATCTACATGGCAGAGATGTCACCGATGTTCTAATTACCCGAGTTGGAGTACTTTCTCTCAGCTGAAGGTAGCTACGCTCTGTGCGGTCCTTCACAAAAGACCGTGCGGCTCTCAACAGTTTTGCATTTTCTCGCGGAAAGTCCGCGAGAATGCGGCCACTGCGCCGCAGTTAATCCATAGAGAAACTGCGATTGTTCTTCAAGCATTCGTCTTTAATTTCGCGAATTTTCTTCCAAATTTCTGCAAGCAGGCGGCAAAAAATCAACGAACTATTTTTCCGGTGCGCGCTTGCTCAAAATTCGCATGGCCGCCTGTCCCCGGCGGTTATCTGAGAGTGAGCAATGCAGCTTCGCTTCATGCAGAGTTGAGGTAAATACTTTGAGATCTTGCAGGTATAAAAGTCCTTGTATGCAGTGCAAGAAGTCTGACACTTAAGTGATCATTGGAGCGACTTCTTCTTCAAGTTTTCCTCCCCCTTTTGCTAGATTCCAAAAGAACAAACAAATTTTGGCTCTTGAGAACGGACTTTGATCAGATAGCCTGCGCAGTTGGTGTAAGGGGAAAACCGTTGAATCAAAGCGCCATAGGCGTAGTCGCTTCACAGAGGACTATTTGCTACCTCTGTCCCGGCACTGGTTCACATTTCTGGCAACCCTACAAATTCTATTCGTAATGTATACCTCAAGTGCTTTTGTGAAACGTATGATTATCTTTTTCAGAAGAGTTCAAATTTTCGGGAAAGCAAAAGTTTTGGAGCGTAAGAAACTACAGATTTCTTAAAATGGTGCTAACACATTTTCGGGCCAACCTAATATTTTAACCGAAGCGTTTATACCATGTACATCTCACTTCAAATGGTCTCTGCAACTCACGGTGTTTTCGTGTATTGAAGATACGGCAGACTTGGGTATCTTATGTGTGAGACAAATTCAATGGTGGAAATTTTACGTATCCGCATCTTGGAAATATTTGGCAACTGCAATGCAGAGGAAGTTATTAGTTGAAAATGTCAAATGCTCACAAATACTGAATCAGTTAGAGAATCTTTGATTTACTTTCGCATTTTTACGGCACACTTCAATCAACCTTGCTATCGTCCCCCGGTGTACGTTAAGCGGAGCATTTGCAGACATCTGAACCCGTTGGTGAACTTATTCACCCTCTACCGCAAGTTTTTCTTTGTAATCTCTCGCTACCAACTCTACCACGTATGACAACCGTTATACAACCGTTATATACCGTTCGGACCACATTCTGAAGTTTGGTGAATCACGGGATTGGCGCTCTCGCTTGTTTGGGCACTCGTTAATAATGGCTCGAACAGCGAGTTGGAGATTGTTAAATAAATCATCCAAGTGCATAAAATCACTGGAGCTTTATCGCATGGTGTACTATAAGATCCAGCTTGGAAGTGCATGACTAGCAAGATGTTTAGCGTACTGATTTCAAGGGATGCTACATTCACTGGAGACACAGTAAGTGTTTTTGCACAACTAGTCTTTGGATAAGGATGTGTTTGCCAAATTTGGACCTTTGAATATATTATAGTTTTTCCCATAGTCCGGCATCGCAGATAAGGAAGGTGGGTTTAAGTCAGGGCAAAACTTCTGTGCGCTGCTGCCAAGCCGCTCTTTTTATGGAGAAATCTCGACTGAAAAGATTATGATAATACGAGAAAGTCCCCAACCTTCGATTACTATCTGATCACTTCATTTTGTGCATAGGCATGACCAACCAAAATTGACAGAAGTTCGCTAAGGTCTGCTGTGGCTAAAAAAAAAACCAATCAATAGTCTACAGCTTTGCAGAGTTAAGAGCAGATATTGGCAATTGGGAACTTTTGGGTAGAACATGACCAAACGCAAGCTTTGTACACTCCTTTTCTGAAAAGGCAATTACCGATATTTTTTGTTTCAGAGAAGAAAGCTGATGAATTCACAGTTAAACAAGCGAGATAGTTGATGACAGAGTTGTACATATTGTGCACGACTTTTTGAGGTTTTATTTTTGACGTAATCTGCGACATTGCCTCTTACAAATGCCTGGGAATTACATAGCAGAGAAATCAAGATTATTGTAAACTCGTAATTCCCTTGCACTCAGAAGATTATTTATTTGGGTAGAGGACTATATAGCGAAGTGGGAGGATTTCGCGCGGAATGCAGCAGATACTCAGCCTGTGCATGTATTAATAAGGCGTATTTGTCGTAAATTCTGGCGGGATCTCCCATTTCTGGCGACATATAGTCCCATACCTCATTTGTTTCTCTGTCAAGTTATGCCAATGAAGTTTCGTCTGTTTGCCGTTTTATCAAACGTTCTATGTACCGCTTACTTCAAGTGCTTTTTCTAGAGATTACGTCAGTGGACAAGAATGAGAATTTTCAACCTTACCTTCTTGTTACTTACCATCTTAGTGGTATGTTGATCAAGCAAGACATCACTTAGTTTGCGATTTTACTCCTTAGAATGCTTACAGATTCTGGACGTTGGTGAATGCGGCAAATTCAAAGACATTCTGGGAAAAATCTTCGGAAAAATAGGAGAAACGCTCCTCAAGGTTCCGAAAGTTCTCGTAAAGGCTCCGGAAATCCTTAAACATGTGAACGAAGCGAAGGATATAATTAAAACAATCAAAGGATAATTGATATTTTGTGCTTGATTGCCGATAAACCTTGACATTGTGACTCATTTGTAATACTGTTTTTAAGCTGTCGACCAAGGTTGGTAGCAAGACTTTATTACGCGATAAGTCAACGTTTCGGCTGTTCGTCCACCTGACTTCGAGAACTGTCCGCCCTCTCAAAAGCCTTGTTTGGCAATAGATTCAGTTTAGCTTAGTGATGGAGTGGCAGAATAGATGTTGAAAGCCTGATTTCGGTCTTGTCAGACCGGCATATAGAGACCGAACAATCAGTACTGCGCTGCAGCTCTATGAGCGAGTATGATAGTCAGTGTCAACAATTAGTAAGTTCCATGTTCTCTCTTCTCTAAACCTTGGCATTCGGGAATGTGTTAGTAATTGCTATGTGATATTATTCCAGTGCCAGGTTTGTACGGTAGGATTCTTTATTGCCCTTACGTTTCGACAATTTCGTCTTCGTCGGAGGCCTGAAAGTAGAGTGTAGCGTTATATCTGCGAAACCAGACCGCCAAACGCCTCTCCGCACTGCCGAGTCTAGTCCCCGTCCCGCCCTTAGCGTACTGAGACATGTTGATCACAAAATGAACTTTTATCCACCCAAAAGACGAGCAAATGCGTTATCACCGTTAGGAAGGCATAGGATTGAGACGCACAATGGCTATCAATTTGACGTTAAATGCACTATCTTGTCATACGAGGCAGAGATTACAGTAAGAAAGACCGTCGAGGCAGCGTGGATTTCTCTCAGAAATCCTAGCATGAATAGCAGAAATGAATGCGATAACAACCGAACTCTTGCCTATCTTGACGATCTGTGAGCGATAGCCCTGCACCTACATAGGGCTGCATTTTTTCGCGGAAAGTCCGCGAGAATGCAGCCACTGCGCCGCAACTAGTTCATGAAAAGGCCGCGATTGTTTTCCGAGAATTAGTCTAAAATTTCGCCAACATTCCTCCATATATCTGCAAGCGGACCGCAATAAATCATCTAAGTATTTTTCCGGTCCCCGCTTGCCCATAAATCACACGGCTGCCTACCCCGACGAATATCTGAGAGTGAGCAATGCAGCTTCGCTTCATGCAGAGTTGAGGTAAATACTTTGAGATCTTGCAGGTATAAAAGTCCTTGTATGCAGTGCAAGAACTCTGACGCTTGAGTGATCATTGGAGCGACTTCTTCTTCACCTTTTCCTCCCCCTTTTGCTAGGTTCCAAAAGAACAAACAAGTTTGGGCTTTTGAGAACGGACTTTGATCAAATAGCCTGCGCAGTTGGTGTGAGGGGAAAATCGTTAAATCAAAGCGCCCTAGGCGTAATCGCTTCACAGAGGACTACTTGCTACCTTTGTCCCGGCCCTGGTTCAAATTTCTGGCAACCTTACAAATTCTATTCGTAATGTATACCTCAAACGCTTTTGTAAAACGTATGATTATCTTTTTCAGACGAGTTCAAATCTCCGGGAAAGCAAAAGCTTTGAAGCGTAAGAAGCTATAAATTTCTCAAAATGGTGCTAACACATTTTGGGGGCCAACCTAATATTCTAACCAAAGCGTTTATACCATGTACATCTCACTTCAGATGGTCTCTGCAACCCACGGTATTTTCGTGTATTGAAGATACGGCAGGCATGGGTATCATATGTGTGGGACAAATTCAATGGTAGAAATTTTACGCATCCGCATCTTGGAAATATTTAGCAACTGCAATACAGAGGAAGTCATTTTAATTGAAAACGTCAAATGCTCACAAATATTGAATCAGTTAGAGAATTTTTGACATCACTTGAATGATGAGACATTGTACCAGGCTTCCTCCGAGAAGGAATTTGCAAAACAGTATCGCCACTTGAACAGACTATGGACAGATACTGCAAGTAGGCTTACCAAAAAAGTTGATAACACATCTGCCCAAATGTCCTGTCCTTTAGTGCTCATAAAAACGCACAAGCTCAGTGCTAGTAATATACCTTTTTTGGACCCTGCAGAGTTCAAAATAAGGCCTATTGTGAGCAGTTGTAGAAATCCCAGTAATAGGATATCTTGGCTGCTGAACATGATCCTCATGCAATTGCTTCGATTTACTCCTGCTCACCTAACAAATACTAGGATGTTCCTTCAGCAATCACAACTGGTTTTGTGGTTTTTAGTATGAAAAGGAATTTGATAAATATTAATTAGGAATACAAAAAATTCAATTCCTTTTTGTTCATTTTCTACACTATCCGGTTTCGGGGTTTAAAACTATACCGGTAGTGCGGCTTCCTTGATGCCCCTCGTCAGTAGTTCCCAAGGAATCTTCAAGATTACCAAATCAAAATCTAAGATGAATTCTAAGACGGAAAATTGGCAAGTCACTTCGTTGTATACGAATGTTTTGAATGAAGCGGCCATGGAAGCGGTCTACGAGATACTGAACGAACACCATGGTTCCGCAAAAACTAGCTGCCTTGTCTTAACGAACAAGTGCAACTGCGTGATGGATCATACAAGACCAAGTGGTTTCGAAAACCAAGGAGCAAAAATGTATTAGTTCACTATCATCCTTGGAGCACAAAAAAGTCGATAATTTATAATATGTTTAAGACTCCGAGGCAGTTCCCTTCGATCAGAAACGCACTAGATCGTTGAATCTTGCCAGACAAGTTGACGCGACTCTAAGTTACGTGACATCTTTCAAGCACAATAGTTATTTTTCTAAAATTTTGTTCCTTAGTAACAAGCAGTAAACTAGTTCGATACTGATGATCTCTATTACGTAGAGGGGTGGAGCAAATTTTCTTTGAATAAATTTGAAATCAGCGTTTCGAGGTGGCCTTGCGGTATACTACAATACTTAGGTCCGAATATCGAATAGAAATTCGATCATTCGAATAAAACATTTGAATATATTCGTATTCAAAATTCGATATTCGGAGTATTTCCATATTCGATTATAATTCGAAAGCTCGAATGATCAAAAAACGGGGTTTCGAATAGATTTTATTCAAACTGCTTTATTCGAATGTTTATTCGAATTCGTATTCGAATGAAAATCCTATTCAGAAATCGACTTTGTTGCAGAGCCAAGTGCTGAGTATCAAGCTCACTTCGTCCGCTTTTTTTTTTCGCAAAATTCGGTGACGCATCTTTTACAAACGTTACGACCTTTGAACTCTATGGAAAGTCACATTCTTCCGACTGCTTGTGACAGTAAAAAAATCATATATGGATTTCAATTGATGCTTTTTCGATCAATGAGATTATACGCACTGCTATTGGCACCAAGTCAGCAAAGAAGCTACGAAATTCGAGCTCGTTTTCCGAGTTCGTATATTGAAAGTGTTTTGAATGCCTGTTCTTCTTGCATTGCTCATGCTTGCGATACGCAGTGCCCACACAAGTGAGCACTCTTTGCATAGGTTATATTGCACAACTGCCTCTATCCGTTACCTTAGAGAGTTTTTGCGAATAGGTGTATTTTGAGTAAAGAACATCGCCGCTGTAGTGGAGGAATAGACGGTTTAGATCGCCGTACGCTATTTGCCAGTTACGAGATGTCTTCAAATGCAGTCAGCTTACCACAAATGAGTAAGTGAGGGTGCTGATTATGGATAGAAATTTACCCTATCGAATTTCGATTTCTGGAGAACTTTGAGCTACGGGGCTGGGAGTTGGGAAAAAGGGGTAAGTGAGGGTGCTGATTATGTATAAAAATTTACTTTATCAACTTTATCGATTCTTGGAAAATCTTGAGCTACGAGGTTGGTTGGTATAGGGTGGGGGGGGGGGGGGTTAAGGATGCTGATTGAAACCAAAATCTATTTTATCGACTTCAGCGATTTTTGGAACATTTTGTGCTAGGAGTTGGTGTAGGGGATACGGGATAACAAATGAACTGGATCTCGACTTATACGATATCTCCAAGCATACGTATCGTACGAACTATACTAGGGGTCACAGTTTTAAGATTCGCATTGAAAACCCAGTCTTGCGTCGTATAAGCAATGCTTCATCTGCCGCTGCAGATACTCTGGAATTCTCTAGATCCTAACCGTTCGGGTACTCATCATCAACCAGTTCCACCCTCAGCTCATGGAATACTTGAGATCGCGTAATCTAATGATTTCTTAGTACGAAGTGAGATGGCTTTATCTTGAGACAGTATTTCCATTCTCTTTGTTTTTGATTTCGGATTCATGTTTGTTGTTTCTTTTTTTCATATTGTTGTTGGTTCTTTTTTCTTTTTACTTAGTGTATTTCGTGAAAAAAGAGTGTTCAGCTGATTAAGTGATGTGTGGCTAAAATAAAGAATAAATTAATAAGACCATATCAATTCACTATCGCTCTGCGCAACCTTGGAGCATGAAACTTTTCGTGACAGGCAACATGTTCAAGGGAGTAAAATTGGTTTCATCCAACGTTGAACAGCGCAATCCAACGTCGATGAACCTTGGCAAAGAGATTGCGTATTTTTGGCTAATCCGCAAAAGGTGCATTAACGCATACCTGTAAGCAAGAAGGCAGACCGATCGAAATGAAACAGACAACAAAAATACCGAATTGTGTATTCTTATCTGATTATTTTAGCAGAGCTATCAGAAAATCTTTGTTTTAAGCGGACCTCAATGATTCCGTCATAGTTATAATATCCCTACTTCTAATTTCAGAAAACAACTACGCCGCAATCAAGCGTTTGACAGAATGTGCACGATAGCCGATTGTATCATTTGAGCTCTGGAAAACCAGGCAACTGTATAGAATTAAGATTGGTGTATTTCATAACTTGCCAAAAATGAGGCGAGCAATACATAGAGACTGGCGACCCTTGTGCACAAGAATCAAAGGACATCTTGACGCCTTAAAAATGCTAACTGTTCGCACCTTTGGCTGCGTTCATACTGTTCCCAGACTTCGGGATCAGTATAAACGCAGCCTTTGGGTGCACTCGAAGGTTATGTCATGAGAACCATTACTTTCAAATAATTGTTACGATCTTGTTGCAGAAAACCGATTTAATAGCCCTCAAAACGTGGAAGCTTTTTGAATAACGTCTAAACCACCAAAAAT